CGCAGTGGACCGCAAAAAAGTGGCGACAGTACGCCTGTGAAAGAAAAGTCTTTCACCAACGGAGCGTTCATCGACAGTCGTGAGTTATTCTTCGCTTAAGCCGTTCTCATTCCTTACACAGTTTTGAAGACTCTGCGAAAAACTGATATGATTTGTGCAGCTTGTTCATGCTTTTAAGAAGGGTATGGGTACATTCACCCAGAACAGGATGGACGCGGCAAACCGCGCGGCAAAATTCGAGGTGGTTAAAGCGGTTTTGGCGCCTATCTTTGGGGCACGGATTTTCAAGTAGATTGGATAAGTAGGGCCAGCTGATGCTACTTATCTATCCCACTTCGAATTTGTGCCCCAATGATAGGCGCCAGAGTCGTTTAATCGAATCGAACTTCGCCGGGCGGTTTGCCGCATCCACCCAGTTCTGGGTGAATGTTCCGTCCCCCTTCAAAAAAGAGCCAATAGAGATTTTTAATTGTTCGTGATCCAACTGAAACTGACGAGTTGAAGCCACAATAGTTGAGGTTGAAGATAGTGTGCAGCTCTTAGGGTTTCTAGGACGTTCTCGATAGAATCAAAATGTTATAATCGCACTGATCGGGATACCGGAGTTCTGATAGTTTTTTTAAATGTCGGACAAGAGCACTACTCCGAAACAGTGGCCATTACCGGGTCCGCCGAGAAGGTATCACCATCAGAAATGTATTCAATACAAGTGAAACTTCCTAATGAAACCCTGCTGACTGAAAAGGGCTTCACTGGAGAGCTCTTTTGATATTCTCCAACTTTTCTGATAATTGTCCTTGCATCTGACCACTAAGCGAGGATCCACTGAATTACGAAATAAACTGATCGTTATTATGGGAACGCTGGGCCAAGATGAAAGTATAGTATAGTAGTACATAGTAGTAACACTTTACTCTTGATTGAGAATTGGTGCGAAACAGTCTTGCCTTGTTGATATACGGTTGGTCAACGTCTTGGTCTCAATTTGATTTTGTGATTTTGCATTTCCAGAAGATGATGTCGTCATATCCCCAGACAAGGCTAAGGATGTTCGAAAATCGTCGTCATCGACGAATCTGAAGTCCCCGCACGACTTCCAACATCACATTCTTGATGATGTGCTTGAAGAGAATGAAGAAGATATGGTTCAAAAGGTAAGAAAAATTGCAAAAACGCGCTCGATTCTCTTTCTATAATCCATGATTTTTCCATGTTATAGACAATACGAAAGAAGAGCACCGTTGAACAACTGGAGAATCGGAAACCTACAGTGAACCAAGACAAGAAAGATGACGCTAGCCAAGAAGTTGTCACTACGATTGATGAGGAGCAAGCGGGAACTGTTAAGAGCAGTGAATTCTTTATCGGGCACGATGACAACCGCTAACACTCATCCCTGTATTCTACAGTAACTAAGAGTTCTGAGAATAGTTGGTTTGCGAGCATGACCTGTTTATCCGACTGCAACTCAGTGAACTCTCAGACAAGGACCACACGAGTTGCTCAGTTTCCGAATTTGACAGTCACCTTGTTTGTAAGTACCGCTACTATAACCGCAAGCTTCCAGAATTCTTGCGACAAGCATTTCCGGTGAGCCGTCCTCCTTGTCCTTTTTTCGCTAGTCTTCATTCTTTATATCTCATCATCCATCCTATGCTCCGATGTCCCTGAACCTGCGTGACTTCGTTTCACTGATGTAATAACTGCGTATGTACAACCAGATTGTTTCATGAATCGAACCATTGCAATATTAAGGTCAACTAGAACTAGATTATTTATGCATCAACATAGAAGTTAATAAATTGTCGTGTTAAAATGTAAATGAAGTTTCAAGATATTGATACATAGTGGATGATTCACCTAGAATACATAGACTTTGCTACTTTACTGCAACAGCCATGTGCAAATATGAAGGAGGAACAAGTATGCACGGCTAACCCCTTTATTTTCATAGCCACGTAGCGCCATGTCGCTGCGCGATCACAGCTGACGACAAGCGAGAACCCTTCCAAGTACACCGGATGGTTCTGTAGCAGGGTCTCTGAACGTGGTAACCCATATTGGCCGGGTAACGGAACTTCTCTCCTATTGCGGTATTCTCCCTTGCGGCATGCGGCAAATGCCACTGCAACTACCGTACTCACCCACCTTCAATCGATCGGACGCAATGTTTTTCGTTGACTGCCTTTCTTTTTTATTAGGTTTGATCGTTTTTACTGCTCTTTCTTTTCCGTTATGTTTACCAGACTCATTTAACTAGAATAACTCCTCCTATATTATCGACGACCAGGACCGCACTGGAATTGAAGAGAGCGGCCAGCCATTTCGAATAATTAAAAGTCTCCCTACCTCACAAATTGTGCGTTCCAATCTTCCATCGCAATCCGGTGCTAAGTGGGTAGGGGGGGGGGCACGCGGCGGCGCGGCACTACGCCGGTCTGGCGCTCTCTCCAGCAAGATAGTAGAGAAGGAAGAGTAGTCGAGCCCGTAATGTTTAGGGATGTTTCGTAGCTTTTTTATGTTATAACTGTGCATTTTTTACCTAATTTCAGGAAGAAAAGGGGCTCCGGGGTGGGTGAGCCAACTAGACGTTCATTTTTTATCTCATCCCATCTTTTTGCACGAGATAACCAGCTTACTCACCCCGGAGCCCCTTCTCTTCTAAAAATTGGGTTTTATGGGCTCAGAAGAATATGCAAGAATCAATAATATGCAAGCATATCAACATGTGCCGAGAGTTAGTTTGTTCTAAACCACGCAACACATCAGTACGACCCCACCATTCCTTCCCAGACTCAGGCCCGCTACTATCTCGCTGAAGAGAGCGCCAGACGAAAAAGGGTGGTCCCCCAACCCACTTAGCACCTGCATTGCTGCTTTCATAGTCCGCCGGCGTGCGTACCGGCGTGCCGAGGCAGTGTTAGAGGGCAGAAGGGAGGCAGGCCGTCGGTCAGCCTCTTGGAAGGGCTGTAAACAAAGAGAGACAACATCAAAAGCCATTTGCACATGCCCCTGGTTGTTTTATTTTTGACCTCGATCTTCTTTGTTTTCAGCCCTTCTAAGGGGCTGACCGACTGTCTGCCTCCCTCCTCCCCCCTAGCACTGCCTCGGCACGCAGGCGGACTATGGAAGCACCCATTCCTGCAATAAGAGCTCCGATCTCTTGTCCGCGGGTTCTATGGCCATTATATGTACAAGAGTGCCAGGAAGTTAATCTAGTTCGCATTCGAAGACTGATCTAGGATTGCTTAGAGAGCTCCTCTACAACAGAACAAAATAATGGGCCACTGTATGGTGAAAATATAGTTGAGGGGCTGGGACCACCTATCACAACGTGAGTATAACAAGTAATGAACTCAATGAAACGTGTTATGCCGTGTTACACCAGGGACATGCCAGTTTTTGGCTAAGCTTCAGGAGCGAAGGAGCACAGCGATGGGCAGGTTTTCTTTCCACTTTCTTCTTTTTCGCGAAAGTAATCATCCCATCCTTTCAGGCTCCTACCTACTTAGGCATAGTTGAGAAACTAGATTTCCTTGGCTGGAACCGTGACAGTAAGACTTCTGGCTCGGTGAATGTACTCAACATGTTTCAAGCTTTCTCTGGATGGAGCACTCGCGTCGTAGCAGTGAGCATTTTCATACCCATGCGCTGACGTGCGGTGACTGTTGGTAGAGCATGGTAAGCAAAAAAAGCTCGTCGGTCTAGATCTTTATACTCCTCTCAACGCTTTGACAACGAATTCTTCCGGACTGGGCAAAGAAACCCGCAAGGAGCTTTAACACCGGGTTAGCGGATGTTGGGGCAATGTTGGCAGGTGTGCACCGCTGGATGAAGTGCGAATGTCTCGAATGCGACGAACCGCACCACCCTTCTTCGGTTCAAATGTCTTGGAAACATACCTGTCTGTGATTCCTTCTGTCTTCACATGTATACTAAATGTACGCGGAATTCACCTCGAATTAAAGCGGCGCCGTACACTGTTTAGATTGCAATGAACTTCAGATATTTTCTTCTCAGCTACATCTTCAGCAAGTTGATGCGCACACTTTCGAGTAAAGAGAGAACACCGATACTAGTAACAGAATGCATTACTAAAGAGAGTGAGACAAACACAGCCTCACCACATGCAAGTGTGTCCTGCAGGAGCTGGTGTCGTGCCTTCTGTTCGACTTTTAGGATGGCTGGCGTGGCGCGCACCTCGGCCCCACAGGGATGATACAGTATGCTGCAGAGCACGAGAGCACGCCACGTGATTATTCTTAGCCACATACTCTGACCGCTTATGCCATCATGCAACGATTGTGTTATTCACTTCTCGTCAACGTCGCCGTTGCAGCAGCCTAGTCATCTTGGTCTTTTTGTGCGCACTCAAGGTCAGCATCGCCGATCGCAGCTCTACAGGAATCCGAAGCACCGTTCATTGACATCTCTGTTTTGTGCAGTTGCGGTCAAAGTATACCTCTCTCAAGGAAGATCTGGAGGAAAAGTTTGCAGGCGAAGATGGTGCTGGCAGCAGTAGTACCGCAAGGAGGTTTAGAGGATTGTACGGCCGGACCTAAAAGTGAGCAGGATCGTATCCAACCGTGGGTTCAGTTTGTTGATATGTATTTGTTTCCATTCATTTTTATGGTATTTGTAGTAGTGATAGACAATAGGTTTTTCGCATTTATCGTAATCATTTTCATCTTATTCCTTTTATTTGTATAGTCGTATATCATAAATCCACATAATCTACCCAGGCGTGCTAAATGAAGTATAAGATCATCTTGTAACTCGCAATCACGCTGGGACGCTGGGATGAGAATATAGCAGGCCCTTGAAGGATCCCGCGTTTAGCGCCATGAGGGAGCCCTAACAAATAAATATAAACGATAGTGTTAAAACAAAGTATTAAGATATAAGGGGGGACAAATCAAGGAGTTAGTTCAACTTCCGTTTCGCACGTGCCCTAGACGGAAGTCAAACTCGATATATATTCTCCCTCCGTGCTCATCAGTAGGGAAAGGGAGAATGACAACTGTGAATGTATGTAATATATTAAGGCAAATTGATAATCAAACTATAAGGTAGGAGTTAAAGAATGCAAAAGAGCATTTGAAATATGTGCATAAACCAAAAAACTTAATACGGAAGGAACCATGATGACTAACTAAGAGTTAAGCAATAATATCAGAGTGAAATGTACTACAGTTAAACTAAGTAAGTGAAGAACCACCTTAGTTTACAGATATATTGATAAAGTTGTTTGAAAGAAAAAGATGATAAATACTTATAAAAAAATGCGCTCCCATACCACATATACGCGCCATTGCGCACTATATTTAACATCGGCTTCATGGACCGCTCCAGCCGCGACGCGCGTAACGGAACTAAATGGACTTATTGTTCTTCTCTATTTCTGTTATTTTTCTTCTCTATTTCTGTTAATTTTGGTATTATTCTTTTATTATTCTAGTTATTTATTAGTAGTAGGCTTGAGCTAAAGATAGTTAAGCAAAGCACGCCCGCTCTAAGCCGTCTTAAGCGTAGCTACAGTGCAGAACCCATAAGCATTTTGTAACCAATGACAACTTAAACTCTTCATTCTAACTTATCTTCCTAACTTACTGATCGTTGGAATATTAGCGAAATATTTATTAAACCATGATTATTGTGCTTATTATAGATGAGTGATTTGCGCACCGCCCATCAGGAGCCCGTTAATAAGGTGGGTACTTAAACTAAACTTAGTATCTTCTTGTACGTATACATTTTTATTTGCTTTTGTGGTAATACCACTCTATTGCATTGTGTTACTCGAGTAGTATTTGTTTGTAGCATTTTATTATACTTTGGTATTCTTGTATTATACAATTTACTTAGTTACTCCTTGTTAACAAACTTATTAATTTCCTATGCCTCATGATGGAGTGCGTTAATATATTACAAAGTGGAAGAGCATTGACAAGTGGTAACGGAATTAAAAGGGATCATAGGAGGTTACTAGAAAAATATTATAGAAAGGCAGGTACTACGCTATTAAGAGTAATATAATAAATAATAGAATATGGATATTATAATACAGAGTATTAGTATGTTTTATTACTAATTGTATCATAAT